GAATCTCTCTAGATCAATTTGGAGGGTTCTGATTCAACTCAGAGAGATCAAAGGATCTATTGATTCAATTTCGATTTGGAGATTTGGCCACTTAATCAGACTGAATCTTCTTTGAACTGAGCCAGTGACCGAAGCTTTGCACAACCCTAATAAGTAGTACTCCTTACACTATATTTCACACAGAAAGTGATGCATGGACTTTCCCAAAATTTTTTATCAAAAGTACATTTGCTTTTTACCTTAGTCTACAGCCCAATGGTTCTCAGCCTTTCTTGATTCGGGACACGCCTCGGGAAATGCCTGCTCTTAGACTTCAATCATTTTTTTAATTCCAGAAAAATAATATAGCAATTTTTTTTGCAAAGAACTCACAAGACCTTAGCAGATTGGAATGTTTTTGACACTATGACTTCTTATTTGAAATCTCTAAGTTGATCCTGTGAATTTTTGCACAACTAACAACTAACAAAGTTAATATTGTGTGGCACACTTAAAAGGATATCATGGCACTCCAGCATTCCACACTACCCTACTGGAGAATCATTGCTACCATCATTATCTAATTTTGGCAAACTTCATAAGCACAGATGGTAGATATATATCACATGTAATGGAAGGGCCTTTCATGACTTACTTAGACCTAAACTTTTTAGAAAGGCAGACTGCCAGAGACTTTGGGTAAAAATCTAACAGAATAAGCACCTTGGTTCATCATACAGTCTTGTATGTGGCTAAGGTAATTTATCCAATCGTGTTTAAACTATGTGGAGTTCCTATGTGCTATAAGTCCTTTGGGTGCAATAAACAAAGGATTTAGCAGGCTCAACAGCATAAATTAACATCAATAGCAAACATAAAATCTGTGGAGCTGTTACCTATAGTTCAGTTGACACTTTGATGAATCACTAATTTCTCAACACTGCATTAAGGTGTTGGTTTCTGAACAATAACAGTGGCCATGTACACGGGTTACATTTCTACCAGAAGAGTTGCAGCTCTCCCAGTAGAAACTACAAGCATACAGGTTTTCATTCAATTTCTCTGGGCAGAAATGTCCCCCCTCTTGGAAAAAGATCTTCCATGTCTCAACCTGGAAGATCACCTTTGCAAGAGAAACTCTCTCACAAGAATCAACACTTGTACACTCCCAGTATTTCACTGACAAATCTGCCAGTGGTTGCATTTCTATTACTATTTAGTTAGCAGGACTTCTCAGGGTTTTTCCTCCCTCCCTGACCAACTCTTTGCATATACCTTAGGGAAACATCCAGATGAGCACAGCTGTGTGGTATGTAGAGCTGCAGACATGTCTGCAGCATTAGACACTGCACATTCTGGTGGTCTCCACATTGTAAGGTAGCAGCACAGGGTGGGGGGGTTTGATCCCAGGAGATCCTAGGGTCACACAAAGCCCATGCAACAAAAAGCAGAGCGGTGCACACAGGGGCAGTGTGTGCAGCCCAAAACCAGAGCCTAGCCAGCCAAATCCACACTTCAGCTGCTGGTCAGGTTCCAAGTGGCAGATCACCACTCCTGCAGCCCCAGAAGGATCCCAGGACCCCAGGCAAGGCTGATGGGGCCAGCCCAGGGCTGGCCTCACCCTCCCCTACCCCACTTGGGGTAACCTGCTGCACACCAGAGGGTGCATGCCACGGGTGTTCTCCAAGGAAACAAATGTTCATGCTGACATGGACACAGCCTAGGAGGCTAGTAGTCAAGGTAAAGGGTTAAAAGTTTCAAATGTGCTCTAAGACTCAGATCCACAAAGGTGTTTGGGCAGCTCACTAGTGTTAACTTTCAAGGAAATGTAGGATAAGACAATATAATTTATGTTCTTAAAGTGGGACATAAGTAGAATTTAGAAGCCTATGTCCCAAACTGCGACCTTAAATATCCTTCTAAGGTGCTCCCTAAATCTAGAGACATCTAAAGTCTGTAGCACACCAGGTTTTGCCATGAAAGTTCCCTAGGTACTTAAAGTTCTACTTCAGGGTATGACCAGTAATGCCTCAGTTTTGAGAGGACTGAGTAGCTCACTGTATATCTGAAAGCAGAGTCCTGTCAGGATCCATAAACTTGGCATATCTCCAGTGCAGCCTGAGAGGTTTGACTTGGTAGACATTTTCTGAGCATACCTGTTGGATTGGGGTTGGACTGAGCCACTTCAAAGCACAGTCTTTCCCTTCCTTGTTTATGCAGTGGTGTGATGTTTAGAGCACCCAACTTACACATGGGGAAATTGGTTTAAATTCCTACCTCTGCCTGAGAAGAGTCGAGCCTACAGCTCCCCTGTACTTACTACTAGATTATACACTGTATTTAGGATAGGTGGTGGTGGTGATATTGGCACCTCTTTCATTTCCTCCTGTTTCTCCTTGATGAAAAGACTTAAAAATCCATGGTGCCAAAAAGAAGAAGAGGGAGAGAGAATATTTCTGTGCCTAGTAGTTAGGACAATTATTGGAGTCCTGAGTTTTAGTCCCTAATCCAAGGGCTTTTTTATGCATTCTACATTAAACAGTCACTGGATAAAATACTGAAATAGACTGAAACACAGGACTTCCCATCACCAACTGAGTGCCCTAGCCACGTCACTACAGAGTCATGTCCTCTCTCTCACCCTCTTCCCCTCCTTCCTATTCATGTTTCATTTTTCTGCAAAATAGAACAGCTTTACAAGGAAGGGATGAGATTCACTCCCTCATCAAACCTAGAATAGTCTGTTGCTAAGTATGTAGAGAAGTTTCCTTGGAGGTGATTTCTCTTTATTTTCAAAGAAAAGAGGGACCCTCTGCTTACATTTAAAAAAACCCTTTACAGTACCTACTTTCAGGAGATGGTTTTGGACTGTGTCCCCCAAGTGGAGAGACTGCCTGAAGACAGGGGCAGGATTTTTGGCACAACCCTGGTCTGAACATTTCCTCTTGGCTAGCTGAAGCCATGCCATAGTGTGTGCTGTTTTTGTGGAGCCTGAGGTGCCTAACTTTCGTCATACATTGCACATGGAGTCTACACATGCATCTTAGGGCTACGGATTCCATTATGGAAGTCAGGGTTGTTGGTTGTAGCCGTGTTGGTCTAAGGATATAGGCAGACAAGATTCTTTGGGTAGACGTGATATATTGTATTCGACAACTAAATAGCTGGAAAAATTGTCCGTTGCAAGCTTTTGGGCACAAACACTTAAAAACGTAACTTACACACTTAAAACCAAAATCTTGTCCGAAGAAGGGTATTTGTGCCCAAAAGCTTTCAAAGAACAATTCTTCTGACTATTTGGTTGGTCTAATAAGAGGTATCACCTCTACCGACAGAACCTTGTCTGCATTATGGCAGTCAGGCACCTAAACAGTAAGTGCCACAATGCCCAGTGTCACAATGCCAAATTCTTTTGTGAATTTGTACTTACATCACTTAAAAATACTTTTGAAAAAAATGTACCATGTGTCTCAAAAAAAAATAAAGCAGCTGCTTGACTTTGTTCCCTGAATACTTTCAGAATGGGAAAGAAAATGTAAGCTTTGTCTGACCAGCCTCTCTTCTCCACTCCCACCTGCTACAGTTGCTTCTCTCCTTTATAAATGTTAATTTTATGAAGAGGAAGAGTCTCTAAACATTTTGCCATTCTACAGCATGAATCATATATGCTCATCATTACAGGATGAGTCAAGGATAAGCCATAAACCTTAACACTGAAGCTCCTTTTATTGATCATACGTTAATTGCCCTGGATTTTATTGTATCAATGATTTTTTGTAAAAAGCTCAGTTCTGATTTTAAAGTAATTATTTTGCATAAGCTTTTTAAGATTCAAATTCCTAACTGAAATGATAGAGCAAGACTAGAACCATATCTGTAACAAATATTTTATCATTATGTGCTCAAAACACAAAGGTCTCCAAGGAAAAAGGGATGTAGAACATTAAATGGAAACTTTCCTTACAAAAAGTTCTAGAAAGGTTACGCTGAGGCACTTAGTGAAGCATACTGTATTTTTTTAGGCTTTCTGCTTTTTAACCTATAAAATATACTGAGATTTCTATCTTTCAGCAAGGCCTTTTCTAAACTTTTCAAAAATAAAAACTCCACAAAAATAACAACAGAGAGATCATGGTTTAGAGGTAAAGAAAAGCTTTGATCATACACTTTTAAAAAACTGGGCTGGTTTAAAATAACTTACAATGAAAGGGTCACTTACTGTAGGAAGGGCACTGCTTAAAATTTAAGCAGTCAGTAATGGGAAGCGACAGACCTCTAACAATTTAAGTCTTTCACAGTTGAATGAGTCTGTACTGACAGCAAGACAAGGATGTGCTAACCTACCTTACCAGGACCTTGGCTATAGCCTGATATGCTCTACCTAGGCCATCCATATCACAGAGTGCTGTGGAAATTTCTATGTAGGTGTTCAGATTCTGTGGGGACAGGAAAGGAAACAAACAAACAAACATAGCATCAGACATTTCTGCTTTTGATTTAGAGTCAGTCTGTCCACAAACGATGCAAAAGTAATGCTATTTTCATATGATTATATGGCATTTTTATTATCTATAACAAGAATAGTTTTTCTATAACCACTTTTGTCTGACACAGTATTTCACTTATACACACACACACCAATTACAAATAATTAGCACAGTGATACCCAATATATTTAAATCTTCATATTTTGGCATTACAGAAAAAAACAAAAACAAATAGTCCATGATCCACAACATACTTTCCTTATTTATAATTTAATAGATTTTAAGGGATTTACATATTTTATAGAAATCTGTGAGTTGATCTCTGAAGATTGCATTCTCCAAATACACTTATGGTATATTTTAGCACCATACACTTATATGTACATTCTTTTTCTTTAAACCTGCCACTGTGAGAACTCTTTTGATACAACTCTTAATGCATAAATGAAACTGAATAACTGGTAGATTAAAAATTTAAGTTTAAGCTTACTCTTAAAAAGATTATTGTAAATCATCTCACTATCTGCACTCCTAATTATTCCTGCACACAAGCAATTTGTTAATACTTGTTTTGAATGTACTCCATTAATATGACCTCTTTTGCAATCAAAGGATTACAGCTGCCACAGAAAAACATATGATCTTAATTTAATTTAACACTGGCATCACCTGTATTGCATAATTTCCCTTTTCATCCATATATTTTTCCAATGGGGATGAGGAGAGAATGCATATAAAATGAAATCCCTTTCCTTCCTCCCTCCTTCTTTGTTCCTTGACCCAACCTATTACACACATGAGAAAACAGGAAATCTCTGAAGACTATCTATGGAAATCCTTTTTGCACATTTCCAAGAAAGGATTAGTGAATGTCATTTACCAGATTTCAAGGGGGATGGGAAGTGCCTCAAGACCCACAACAGTACCCTCTCCAACCCATAGTACCTGGACCTGGACCTGGCAGTTTATGTTATGGCAGAGAATAGGGCACTTTCATTAAGAGCTTAATTCTTTTTATGTGGTAAAGTATCTGGTTCAAAGAGGAATTTCTGTGCGCCAAGCATACAGTACTTTTATTACTACTTTCCCCATTCAAATTTCTCAATGTCTATGCATTGGCATGCAAATGGGTAGGAGCATCACTGCTCTGTGAACATTTTTCCTGTTTGGGGTCCTTCAAGCTATGCAGGCACTGAAAAGCAAAATTTATTAATGTGCATTGTGCCTCACTGACAATTTCAACATTTAGCAATATTGCTTCCTGTGTTTTGAAGGTAATTGTAGAGTGACGATATTGATGCAAGTGAGATGACATGAAAAAGAAAATGAGAGACACTGGTGATAAGGCCTAATAGCATCATCTTGGAACTCTTGCTTGGTTGAACCCACTGTGAGATTAGAGTTTTCAGGACCTTCATGGCCTACTGTTCTGGGCTCCCTGTCACTACCACCCAATAAAGGATTTTATACAGATGGCATGGCTGACCCACCCATCTAGATATACTGTAAAATAAATGTTGAGAGACTTAGTCCCTCCAGGAAATGAAAAGAAAAAAGGGATCCCTGCTGACTTCCCTTGGAAGTCAGTCCCCTGCTATCATCACTCCATGATGGGGTTATTGCATGAGAGACAGCTGCTGGGCATTCCACATCATAGCAAAAAAAGCACAGCCTGTCTAAATCCTGCATATCTCTGAATGAGATAGCAGTAGTCTGAGCAGATGGCAATGGGTAATAAAGTTCACGGGATGAGTGGGAGGTTAGTAATGTGGGGCGTAGAGTGGGGAAAGGTAGAGGAGAGCTGTATTAGACTAAAGTCAGTCAGAAGGCAGGGTAGATATGCACCTTTATAGACTAACTAAATAACATATCTATTCCAGAGAGAGAGAGCATGGGCAAGTGCATGCATACAAGAACAAGCACAAGCTTTCATGAACCCAAGTTCACTTCAGAGTGAATGTAACTAGTTAGAACATGGCAAGGAGTTACTGAGGCGCTAGTAATGTAGGATGGTGGATAAAAGTATGTCAGAGCTGAGTGGAGAGGCTGATGATGAGTCAGTGCAATAGATAAAGGATGTGGCTGAGTCAGAAGGCCATGTCTAACATAAGCAGAGGATGAGAAATGTCTGAGAGAGAGCTGGGGGACCAAGTAAGTTTTACAACTGTGGGCAAGTATGAAGAAGCATCAAACACCAGAAAAGGAGCCGAGGTGGACCATGGTGAGGGGACCTATGTTCTTTCTGTCTTTGGAGGTTTATTCCTTCTGTTCATATATACTGGAGTTTAAACTGCCCTTCTCATGGAAGTTGCTCCATCCTGATAGTAGCATACTTTGTAGAAAGCAGGGCTTATATGCCATTTTTTCCAATCTGTGCTAAGGACATGGTTGTCTAGAGTAAAGGGGCTTCTGTGATGATGGTAAGGCAGTCATGGAACAGATAAGTAATTAGGGCTGAAGGGCCACATAGTCTGTGTGTGTTTAGGTACATTTACTGCAAGATAGAAACATCATAGAATTTAGCATCTGTATCATAAACAGGAAGAAGGAAGAAATGAATCTTACTATATTATTTTTGTGGAACTCTCTTTCTGGTAACATATGCAATGCAACCGGTTGAACATAACTTGTGGTACTTTCCTTTACTTGAGGTAAAAGTAAATACATTCTTCTGATTATATTATATATCATGATAATATAATGATTATATATACATAATGATATATGTATTATATATACAAAATGATATGGATGATATACAAGATTATCCATACTGCTAATATACAATAACACGATTTTTTTTTGCATACCTGCATGAATATGACTGATGAATTTCCTAGTGAATAATCAAAAGAATGAAAGGCAGGATTTTGTGAGTTTAGGAGTTACTGGAGGCATTTAAAGTATGTTTTAAAAAAATTGCTCTGCATACAAAGGTCTGAGAAAAGCAGACTGCTGAAATGCATTAACTGGATATTTCTAGATCCATCATCTCTACATTTTCAGGTAAAGGTTGATATTTCTGAACTTCTGAAATCTAGTGGAATGAGTTCATACTCAGTGTACAGTCAAATTGATTGTATTACTGCACAGTTCTTGAAATAAGAATATACAGCTATATTCTATTTCCTTTGCACTTTCTAAAAAGAAAGTATAAAGTATACCTAGAAGAAGGAAAAAATAGAGTTGTGGCACTGATTTTATCAAAAATCTCTTCTTATCCTATGACAGCAATAAAGTTTCAACTTCCTACTATCTGACTTAAAAGCATTAATGTTATACGTTAATAAAGCAGGCTCAAATAAAACATATTTCTTTTCTTGACAAAGATTTTTTCTTGTCTCCTGGGATGTGGCAGGAAAATCTCATGGTAGATCAGAGCAGGGAGTTGTAATATTATGTGTCCTGCACACATTGACTGAAGCTAATAGTGATCTACCAGCACCACAGAGGAGGAGTAAAAATGCAGACATCTTGAGTATGACAGAAAGACCCCAGGATACATGGTGAGTTGCCCTGATGCAGGCATCTTCAGAGCAATATAGAGAGGCAGCTTGGAACTGCATTTTCCATAGTGTTAATGTTTTTTAAAAGTCAGACTCCAGGATGCAGAGGGAAAAGGGACTGGAATTTGACCCCACGTAGTATAAAAGAACAGTGTCATACAATAGGTGAGAGAAATTTTCTATTCCTACCTTCCTTACCCGTAAAGTTGGACTCATCGTTCACCTTGAACTTTATTTCTCCTATTCAATCTTCTCCACATCACAATAATACCTGAATAAATTATCATCTGAACACCATCTTCCTTTATTCACACTTTCCCTCCTCTCACTTGGATTACTGCAAGTCTTTGACCTCTCCGAGTGCTAGTTCTTGAGACTTCAGAACATAAACAATAGTGTGACTCCACCTTTATTCACGTGCAAAGAAATGTGACATTTCTTCATCCTCAAAGAGCTCACTATAGTCCACAAGTCACTCACCTGAGTTCTAAAACTCCAGTCTTATTCCTGCCAGCTTTACACTCTGCCCCTCTCTCTCTCTCATTCTCCCTTTCCTGCTGCTTCTGCTTGTTTAGTTACAACTCCATCTTTTATGCCTTTCATATTCTTGTTATTTTTGGCATGGGAATTACCTCTCTCTATCCTTTTGGGATGCAGACCTATCATCTTTCCATCTACTTTCAAATCTCAGCTATACACATCTTCACATTTTTGCTTACATTTGTATGTTTTCCTGTTCTATTTTTCACCAAATTGATTTAGGAGTAAATCATTTTTAAATATGTAGATTTCTGAAGTGTTTTACCAGGGTAGAAGTGAAGGGTACAATTATGAAGAGATTATAAACAAGACATCTTATATGCCACTGCACTGTTGAATTGTAAATGTTTGATATATATATAACACAAGATTACTTTTCTAAAATAGTCTGCCAGTGCCCCAATGATTCAATTTTTTTTAATGTTGGGAGTGCAAGGAAGTATCACATTCTTACTTAGAGCTGGTTGGAACATTCCTAATGACATCTGTTTTCATTGGGGAATGCTGATTTATTGATACTAGAGATTTGATTAGGAACGTACCCATTTTGACAAACCTTTTACTAGAAAATGGCCAGGATGGAATTTCTGCTCAACATCTAATATAAAACCATAGGCCATGTCCAGATAAGTGTGGACGCGTGGTATGTGGCGCAGCAGACCTGTCTGCAGTGCCCCACCCTGCTACCTTGCAGCATGGGGGATTTTTTTGACTCTGGGACATCCTGGGGTCAAAAAAAACATACCAAAAATAAGCTGGGCAATGTATGTGGCAGCAGCACTTGCTACCCAAAACTGGAGCCTGGCCAGCCACAGCCATGTTCCAGCTGCTGGTTAGGCTCCCAGTTGCAGGAGTGCTGTGGCTGCAGCTCCCTGAGGCCCCCAGAATCCCAGATAAGGCTGC